ACCTCCCGGGTTCCCCCGTTGATGGCGCGTCGGGGGCGGCACGAGCCCGAATCGCGGTTGTTGACACCGCCCGGGGGGAGGAGGAAGGGAGGAAGAGGAGAATTCCCCAGTTCCCCCTCTTTCTCCCTCTTCTTCCCCCGCAGAGAGAGAGGGGGGCGGCGGAGAGGAGTGTCTTCAGTGGGGCGCCCCTAGGGGGGCCAGTGGCGCCAGTGCCGCCAGGCTGACCTCCCTGGGCGAACAATAACGCACCGGGGAAGGGGCGCGGGTCACATCCACACACAAACCTTTAAAAATATAGAAGCCATTTAGCTCACAGGCCACACAACAACAGCTGCAGATGGCGCCGGCCCATCATCTGTAGGTTCCTGACCTCCAATGTAGATACAGAACAGTCAGGGAAGGATGGGTCAACAAAGATGGCTGGTACTCATTCAAATGTTAAATGGGGAGCTATCTAAATAAGAATTAATTTTATAAATAGTTCATAGTGACACTTTCAAATAATGACAAATTTGTTCCTATATAACCTTGACTATGGAAACTAGAAGCACAGCCTGTACAGGAGGGTCCTGTGACTAAGCACCAGGAACAGCTCAGCGCTAAGCGAAGGTGCTCCGCCCTCCATCAGTGGCTGCTGCACCCTGCCCTCTCCCCGAAGCTCATGTCTGCAGTTCAGCTCTTCTTGTAGCTGGCACTTAAATAAACTCAGTAACTCAAGCACAGGAGAAAAGACATATTTTCCCTTCCTAACTGCCTGGATGGTATGTATATATTTAACAGAGAACATATACTAACTGCTTGTTAGAGCTGGTGGTATACAGCCGTGTTCCCAGTGATGGAAACAGAGAAGACACACAGGAAACAGGAACTAGAAATGCCAGGTCAGAAGGCCCAGGGCTCTGCAGGACCTGTCTTCCGCATTCTGACTACATGAGGGGAACTTTTAGCCGGAATTTCCTACCTTTTGGCAACTGTCACCACAAGCCAAATTTCACATGGACCTCAAAATGTGACCCTGTTTAGAATTAGGGTCTTTGCAGATGTAATTAGTTAAGATGAGGTCCTACTGGACTAGGGTGGGCCCTAAAGCCAGTGAGTAGCGTCCTTATAAGAAGAGAAGGCAAAGCCCTGGCTGATGAGGTTCAGTTGGTTGGGCACGAGCCAGGGCACAGAAAGATTTCCAGTTCTATTCCCTGTCAGAGCACATTGCTTGGGTTGCAGGCTTGATCCACTGTAGGGGGCATATAGGAGGCAGCTGACTGATGTTTCACTCTCATATCAATGTTTCTCTCTCAAAATTTTTTTAAGAGGGAAGACAGACAGACACACACACACACACACACACACACACACACAGGGAAGAAGGCCACGTGAAGACTGGTGCAGAGATTGGAGTGATGCAGTTACAAGCCATAGAGTGCCAAGGATGGCCAGGAGCCACCAGAAGCCAGGAAGGAAAGAATTTTTCCTAGAATATTCAGAGAGAGCATGGCCCTGACAATACTTTGATTTCAGATTTCTAACCTCCAGAGCTGTGAGAATAAATTTCTATTGTTTTAGTCACTATGTTTGTGGTAATTTGTTATGGCAGCCCCAGGAATCTACTCTACCCACCCAAATGGAGAGTGGCACCCTTTGTAACCAATGACAACAGTAACACTAATCAAATAATGAACAGCGAAACTTAACTCTGCCAACTCTAATTCAACAACAGCAAATCCCTGGTGCTTTTCTACAATAGCAGAGATAGGTAGTTAATTATGTGGACAAGAGGAGGAAGCAGGGCATGTCCTGATATCATTTAAAAGTGAAAAACAAATTTTCAGATTTTCCTTGGTTTAGTTAACAATGCTTCCAGAAATATTAAAGTAATTTTGTTTATGTCAATATAGCTAAAAATTTTAAGCTATGTAGTATCCAAGTCTACCACTACACAATTTAAGCCTTAAAGTTACTTCCAAGCATTTTTTTTGTTTTATTGCTTAAAGTATTACAAGGAGTATTATATATGTCTCCTTTTTTTTCTCCCCTTGACCTTCCCCTAGCCTCCCATACCCCCCAGTGTCGTGTGTCCATTCATTATGCTTATATGCATGCATACAAGTCCTTCGGTTGATCTCTTACCCACCCCCCACTTCCAAGCATTTTGATAACCTTTGTTTACAAGACATAGAAAGTAGGAAAAAATGTTGATCTATCAATTGAGCATTAACTATATACTGAGCACTGATCTCACCACTGAGTGAGGTGACTACTTAAGAAGGGAGCAGAGCTATTTCAGTTGACGGAGAGCAAGAACAATAGGAGCTACTAATTTATAGAATGCAGGGGTAGAAAGGGCCCCAAAAGCCAGCCTTACTGCCCTAACCGGTTTGGCTCAGTGGATAGAGCCCGCGGACTCAAGGGTCCCCGGTTTGATTCCGGTTAAGGGCATGTACCTTGGTTGTGGGCACATCCCCAGTGGGGAGTTTGCAGGAGGCAGCTGATCGATGTTTCTAACTCTCTATCCCTCTCTCCCTTCCTCTCTGTAAAAAAATCAATAAATTAAAAGAAAAAAAAAAGCCAGCCTTACCATTTTATTGAAGAATTGAAGAACTTGCCCAGCTGGTGTGGCTCAGTGGTTGAGCATCAACTTATGAACCAGAAGATTGAGATTCAATTCCTGGTCAGGGCATATGTCCGAGGTTGTGGGCTTGAGCTTCTCTCATCATTGATGTTTCTATCTCTTTCTCCTTTACTCTCTGAAATCAATAAAAAACATGTATATATTTTTAAAAGAATTGAAAGGTTTTTGTGGATGACTTGCTGCTCTCCCATACTGCCAGCATTATTGGAATAAACGCTCATATAAAAATAAAAATAAAAGAATTGAAGAACTTAAGGCTCAAAGAGTTTAAGAGTGACACACAAAGTGGCAGAGCAGGGTCTAAAACTCTTATCTTAAAAAATAACAACCATGGATCAATTAGAACCATGGCACCGTAACTGTGATACCAACTGAAGAAAAACTCACCCAGGTGACCAGAGGCCAAGGCTCCATTGTTGAGGCTGAGCTTCCGTCTGCTTTTTAAGAACACAGCTGTCAGTGCCCTGGCCAGTGTGGCTCAGTTGGTTGGGCATCCTCTTGTGCACCTACAGGTTGCTACCTTGATTCCCCATCAGAACACATGCCCAAGGTTGCGGGATCGGCCCCCATAGCTGAGCGATGTTTCTCTCTCCCTCTTCTTCCTCTCGCTCTAAAATGAAAAAACAAACAAACAAAAAACATATTGAAATCACAGCTGCCAAGAAGGGAAATCTGGTCAGAAGATGTGGTGGTTATGTCCAAAATGATCACATCAAGGAACTGCTGCAGCAGATGGGGATATTGCAAGACTATGTATTCAAAAGGACCTTGAAGTTGAAAAATAAAGATGTTCCTGGGGAGGCCTAATAAAAAGGAGTTTCAGCAATATAAATTTCAGACCATGTGCTATGTAAGATAAAACACTTTTTAAAGGAACAAAGAGGAATATTTCACATTGATAAAAGATATCTACTAAGAAGATAAAGCACTCATAAACCTTTATGCACTTAGCAACATAACATGGAAATCTTTAAAGCAGCAACTTATAGAAATACAAAGAGAAATTGGCAAATCACATCACAGAGGGACATTTTTATCATAATTCTCCCAGAAATTGTCAGTTCAAGAAAATTGAAAATATGTAAGGGTAGAGGATTTTAATAAAACAATTGATTAGCTATGATTTATGTAGAGATTTGTTTCTAATAAATAAAGAATACACATTACGTTAAAAAAAAAAAAAAAAAAGACCACAGCTTTGCCTATGTGCCAGCAAAGCAGTGGAGGCCATTTACCCAATGTGCTATTCCATACATAACTTATACTGTATACTTTATGAATCAATAAAAATTTACCAATTTTTAGTTATAAAAAAAAAAGATGTGGTGGGTTTCAGCTACCAGGAAGTGTGAGACAATAACCAGACTTTTTAAGAAAAACCATCTTCTTACTGATTCTTACTATATAGTTTATAAGTTAAATAATCAGAAATCACAGGTTCCAATGTGGAGAAAGCCTTTCTTCAAATCTGACAAATTGTCAATCTCTGTACATTTCAGCCTACAGCCATCCCACCATCTTGGCTTCGTGGTCCTTAGAACATGTCTTTTCCATCACCAAGATCAGTGACTCCCTCCCTAACTTCAGTACATACCAAATTACAGTGAATGCACATGACTTAATGTTCTCCTCAAGCTCTTTCCCTGAAGAACTCAGACAGTTTGAGTCATACACAAAGTTAGTAGCAGAGCTGGATTCTCATTAGGAATCTAAACATGAGAGACATTGGAAAGACTCATCTGTTCCATATTCCAGTGGAATCTGAATATCTGTGATGTCTCCAAAAAAAGTAAATGCTGCATAAAGAATTTTGCCATCCACTTCCTCTGTCAGCCCACCTACAAAGGCACCAAGCTCCTTTGGAACTAATGTCCTCCATACTCTTGGTATGGCTGCAGTAACAATGTGCTAGCAAGATAGTCAAAGGCCGGCCGAACCGGTTTGGCTCAGTGGATAGAGCGTCAGCCTGCGGACTCAAGGGTCCCAGGTTCGATTCTGGTCAAGGGCATGTATCTTGGTTGCAGGCACATCCCCACTGGGGGGCGTGCAGGAGGCAGCTGATTGATCTCTCTTCTCTCATTGATGTTTCTAACTCTCTATCCCTCTCCCTTCTTCTCTGTAAAAAGTCAATAAAATATATTAAAAAAAAAAAAGATAGTCAAAGGCCGGAAAAGGAGGGGTCCTGCAGTCTTTTGAGCACACAAAGTAACTTTTCCCCGTCCCTCTTCAGCCCGACATCTAGCCCCTCTGACAACTTCCAAATGAGCTCACCACCTCATTTCTCCTTCCTCTGTACAGTGACTACAATGATGCCAAAAAAGCGCAAATCTGATTACAGCACTGCCCTGCTTAACATTGCCCTAAAGCTCACCAATGCCCATAGGACCGGTCCAAATTCCTTAGCGTGGCATATAAGACCTTCATAACCTGACTCTCTAGCCTTTTCTCCTCCGCTTCCCCCGTCCAAATTATTTGCCTCCAAGAGCTAGACTTACTTCACCCCTCTAGGCTTTTGCTTTTCCTGCTCTCCACTCAGGCCAGTGCCCTGCTCCCACCTTGGAGCCTAACTCTTGACCTTTCAAACCTAGCTCTGGCCTCAGCACCCCCAGGATGTTTGCCCTCATCTTTCCAGATGGAGTGGTTATTCCCGGAAAACCCCAGCCCGACCCCCCTCAGCAATCAATCAAACAACTGCATCACGTGCTCACCAACCAATGGTGAGGCTGTTTCCATAATTCCCTAACTATTCTGGAAATGCCTCATCTAAGGAGCCAAGACTGAGAGTTTGGGATGCCAACCAAGGTCGCAATAACAGATCTCACCATTGTTCTGGTCTAGGTCCGAGGGAAAAGGACTTTGGGCAGCGCTAGGTTCAATGGAGCTATCAAGTCGTGAGCACCATTCAAACTGCAGGGGTAAAGCCTAAAGACACCGGTCCCCGCCGCTAAGTGCCGCCAGGTAGATCGCGAGCACCTTTCAAACTGCGTGGGTAAAACCCTTGAGACCGGGTCCTGGCCGCCAGGTAGATGGCGAGCACCTTTCAAACTGCGCGGGTAAAACCCTTGGGACCAGGTCCTGGCCGCCAGGTAGATGGCGAGCACCTTTCAAACTGCGCGGGTAAAACCCTTGGGACCAGGTCCTGGACGCCAGGTAGATCGCGAGCACCTTTCAAACTGCGCGGGTAAAACCCTTGGGACCAGGTCCTGGCCGCCAGGTAGATCGCGAGCACCTTTCAAACTTCCCGGTAAAACCCCATGAGACCTGCCCTGACCGCCAAGTAGATCGCCAGCACCTTTCAAACTGCGGCGGGTTTCCCGTGAGACCGGGTCCTGGCCGCTAAGTGCCGCCACCTAGATCCCAGCACCTTTCAAACTGCACGGGTAAAACTCATAAGAGACAGTGTCCTGGTCGCTACTTGCCGCCACGTTAATCAATAGATCGCCAGTACCAAGTACCGAACTGTGCGGGTAAAAACTCATAAGAGAGAGCGTCCTGGCCGCTATGTGTCGCCACGTTAATCAGTAGATCGCCAGTACCAAGTACCGAACTGCGCGGGTAAACCCGTGAGACCGGGTCCTGGCCGCTACTTGCCGCCACGTTAATCAACAGATCGCCAGTACCAAGTACCGAACTGTGCGGGTAAAACTCATAAGAGACAGCGTCCTGGCCGCTACGTGCATCAGTAGATCGCCAGTACCAAGTACCGAACTGCGCGGGTAAAACCTGTGACAGGTCTCTGGCAGCTACCTGCCGCCACGTTAATCAACAGATCGCCAGTACCAAGTACCGAACTGCGCGGGTAAAACCTGCGACAGGTCTCTGGCAGCTACCTGCCGCCGCTACGTAAATAGTGAGCACCATTCAAACCGCGGGGGTAAAAACCCCATGAGACCCGGCCCTGACTGCTACGTGCCGCCGCCACGTAGATCGTAAGCACATCCCGGCGGCCGCTATGTGCGGCTGCGTGCCACCACGTGCCGCCACGGGCCAACCACAACCTCGGTTCAAGACCGGTGTCACGTTCAAGACCGGTGTCACCGCCACGCAGGCACCCTGCGGTGTCAGCCATCTTGCCGCTGCTTCTTCCGCCGGAAGCCCGCTCCCGGGCCCCGCCCCTAACTCTCTAGCGCAGATGCCTGCACCAATCAGGTTCTGCAGCTGCACGGGTGGGGGCTGGAGGGGCGCAAATAGAAAACGCATATACATAGCCGCGTTACCCACGGTCGGCCGTCAGGAAATGGGAGGATCTATTGTACATTGGGCCAGACCTTAAGGAAAAGGGGGAGCCGACCAAAACGGAGCATTCCAAGGAATGGGATCACGTGGGTGAGGCCCGAAGGAGAGCCGGCCAAGCTCACGGAAAAAGGGAGGGTTCATGGAGGACAAGGACACGTAGACTGTTAGCCTTGGCCAATGTTGTTTTAAGGACTAAAGGAACCACAAAACACTTAGGATTTGAGCAACTGTTTGCTGTCTCAGACCTATCTTCCCAAGCCTTTCCCACTGCCAGGGGAAACCCCCAGTTGCAGAATTTGGGGAACTGGACATGCTGACCTGCATGCAGGACTGTTGGAGAGAAAAGGGACTGACAACCCACCACTAGCACGTCATGGAGGGAGTGGCCAGGTTCTGCATATCTCATCATGTCCTTCAGAAACATGTCACCCCTATATCGGTTCCAAGGCCAGCTTTGATCAGATGCCTGTTCCCTTAAGTTAAATGGAGCAAATATAAAGTCCTTCCATAACAGAAAGAAATGGGACAGTTATGCACACCTAGCTAACCCAAAATAGCCTGCTTATAACTGCAGGAAAGAATAAGCTATACAGAACTTCACTTGACCCTATTTACATCCTAAAATTATTTCCAGTGAAGAGATTTATAGAATAAAACTATGATCAGAGTACAACACAAGATAGGCAGTTTTATGGAGTTTTTTCTTTATTGAGAAACTTAAAGACTTGGATACATCAAATAAAACCAATTTCTGGGGAAAGATCAAAACCCACAACAGGAAAAAAAAAGTTAACACTGTCTGAGCTGTAGCAGAACCCAGAGAATATATTCTTTTAATTGAAAAATTCTAGGTGCTTCATAATTGACCTTTTGATACAAAATGACCTATTAAATTTGCAATTTGTGGTTCTTAGTGTTGAGGTCCATAGGACAAGCTAGGAAGTCTTCAAACCTTGAGCTGAATTTCATGAGGGGTTATTTGGCTTTTGAATCCTGAAAAGAAAAGCACCAACATAAATAATCAAAAGAACTTCAGAGATTCACTGAAATCTCTGGCGGATAAAAGGTATTACAGAGCAGGGTTTCTCAACCTCAGTGCTCACATTTTGGCCTGAAGAAAATTCTGCTGGGGCTATACTGTGCAGTGTAGAATGTTTAGCAGCATCCCTGGCCTATACCCACTAGATGCCAGTGACACATTCCCAGTTATGAGAACCAGAAATGTCTCCTGACATTGAGAAATGTCCTCTGAAGGGGCACACCTAATTTAGAGCCATGGACTTTGAGGATAACTAGTCTGTAAACCCTTACACCTCCCTCCTTGTAAGCCATCCTGTACTCAAAACTTTAGTTTTATGTTTCTGTTGCTTAAATTCCAAATGACAAAAGCCAAGGAACCATGGCTATGTTGAGTCAACCCCGACCATCATACCAGTTCTAGCCCGTACCACCTGCACTTTCCTTGACTGTGCCTCTGCTCATTTGGTTCTCTCGTTGATCAGCCTTTGTCAGAGGTCCTAGTTAAGCTTCACTCACCCAATCCCCTGCAGACAGGGACCATGGTCCCCAAGTCCAGAAGTTGACTGGAACACATGCTGTAACTGTAGTCAGGTATGTGTCTGTCTCTTCCACTTTGACACCAAGGCCTGTGCCTACTGTGTTCCCAGAGCTAAGCAGTGGCTATATACACAGCTGACCCTCACCAATCTCAAACCAGGAAGGTGGTCATAGAAATGAGGCTGTGAGATCTGATTATATTCATCATTATTCCAAACCAAAAATGTGATTACGAAAATCTGCTTATAACCATCAGGAAAGGATAAGCTATGCAAAATTTCTAACTAGGTGCTTATTGAGAAAACTGTTGTTTGCTCCTTATAATTTATAACCTGTACTCTTTTCTCCATGTTAATTCATCCAGATGATAGAAAAAACCCAGATGGCAGCATCCCCAAGTTAACTAGCTCTACATATTGTCCCTAAATTTTTAGGAAGATATTCACAAGTCAAACTATTATAGAAAACAAAAAATAGCCGAACGTACGTTTTTTCCTTGCCTAAGAGGTAGCAGCAGCAACAGTGCCCACCTTCTGGGCAGCTTCTTTCTTGGCATGATGAGCCTGTAGGACTGCCACAGCTTCATCCACCTGTGAGAAATCTCCAGGCGGTCAGTGACATCTAAGCAGAGCCCCTCCACTCCTCCCTGATGCCCAGGTCCAGTGGTGGCTTCTCCTGGTGCTGCTTTCTCAAATACCCACACCAGAGCGGCCCCTTCTCTCTGCCACATGTGGGGGTCCAAGGCCACCGGTCATCATCCGCAGCTGAGACCACCCTGCTCACCTTGGAGCGGAGAGACTCGGGGGACTCCAGCATGTGCAGCAGCTCGGAGTTGTCGATCTCTAGAAGCATTCCCGTAATCTTTCCAGCCAGGTTCGAATGCATGGTTTGGATGAGAGGGAACAAACGTTCGCCTATGGGAAGATACTCAAGTAAAAACCAAGTTGAATCCCGGGAAAGAATAGACACTGGTGTCCAGGTCAGTACCAGGCACTGGCCCCCTCTTGTGCAAGCACGTACCCAGCATCTGCTTCTGTTCCTGGGGGGGTGCTGCAGCCAGCATGGAGGCGGTCAGGGGCTCCTGCCCCTGCACATGGACCGCAGGCTGGGGTGCCTGGGAACCAGGAGAGGCAGCGGGTTAGCACCAAGGAAAAGACACTTGAGAGTGATCAAGAGGGTGACTGTTCAACATCTGAAAGTCTACTATGTGAAAGAGGAGGTGGAGTAGTTGTCTTTGCTCTCAGGAACGTAGAGAGTGTGAAGCGAGGAATCGTGGTGTGGGCACAGACACACAGCCAACTACCCTAAGAACAGTATGCTATTGGAAGGAAATAAAACAAACCTACAATGCTTGGCAACCATCTATCAAATGATTTTGATTTATTTAAGGTTGTTTACCCAAGGTTACCCAAGCATTCAAAACCTTAATAAAATTTAAAACCTTGTTAATAAGTAAGGTACAGTGAACATGTGTATGTATAGCCTTTTCCTAAAAATTAGTTTTTTCCTTTAGAATGAATTCCTAGTAAAGACCAGGTCAAAGGGTATGCATATCAAACCATTTATAATTACATCCCACATAACCTTTATTGTACCAAATGTTTTTATTGTATCAAATACTTGAGGACTATCAACATGCAAGGTCAATGCCAAATAGAGCTCTAAAAGTAGGGCCTTGTAGGCAAAAAATATTTCACATAGCATCAAGTTCTGGGGAATATTCAACTTCAAGAGCATGGAGCAGGAGGAAGCAGCTCCTGGATCACAAGACTGGTATGTCTCCTCCAAGCAAAGTGCTACTGAGCTTTTCAACAAACCAGTTGCAGCATGGCTTGCCTGGGTGGCACAGCTCCAGAGATAGCAAGTTCCAGCTTAGACAACCTAATATCTGGGTCCAACTGCCCCACCTCAACTCAACACCTCTGAAACTGAACTCTGTGACATGAAGTTCTTTCCTGCCTCAATATATTCATTACCTTGTAGAGCAGCTAAGGATCCATTAAGCCATTGGAGGTGAAAGAGAAATGAAAGCTCAATGAGCCGAATGAACACACATACATTGTAAAAAGGAAAGCAGGAAGCACCGGCAGTCTCCTCTGGGGCATATCCAAGGGAACTGTTTTAGGAAGAACACTTTTAAGCCCCTTCTGGCCTGCTAGAGGGCCCCTCAAGGGCAGTGTCACCACACACGACACAGCATCCTGACACAGAGCAGGCATTTTACACCTGTTTAAGGAATCAAAGCAAGGCATCTTTTAAATCGCACGGGAACGGGGGAAATCCTTTAGCGGTGTTTGGTGGACCCACCTGCAGAGGTGGTATGGCAGGGTGAGGGCTGCGGACACTGGAGGCATACTTGTAAGGTGCAACAGCCCGGGGAGCAGCAGCAGCCACAGCAGCGCGAGGTGCTAAGTTCTGCACAGCTGTGGGAACACCTTAGGAAAAGAACAAGTAAAATTAAAGCCCATCAGTCTGGGCAAAGACCCGTCAAATCCCATCTTTCCCCATTCTGTGTGCATCCAATACCACCTCCAGACTGGCAGCTGTCAGTCAGCCCTTGCTGGGCGGCACCAGCCCCACCAAAGTCCATAGCCAAGCGGTCCGGGCACTCAGACCCTACAACAGACCAGCAAATGCACATCAGTGTTGGCAGATGTCCAACTGGCCACGCCCCACAGAAGGAGAAATTCCAAAGTATGTTCAAACACATCACACAGGGGGCCTCTACTGCTACTCTCAAGGAACAGCCAACAGATAGCATACAACTCTTTCCACCTTTTGGCATACAGGACATACTCTGTAAAAAAAAGTTTCCTTAACTCTCCCAACTCCACCCAGAAGAACGGGCTGCCTCTAGTCATCCAGCTAACAAACTTCTACCACTAACCTTGTTCACATGGCTCACCAATGAGCAAAGACTCTTAAAAGTAACCAGCACTCCTAGAATGAATTGTTTCTTTGCCCCTTTGTACCTACCTAAGCACACAGCTAAGATGACAGAACCAGGACTCAAAGATGAGCCAACAAACTGACCGACCCTGGGCAGAGCCTAGTCCTCCTGAGCCCTCCTCCCCAGGCCATGCTCCTCAAGGCCAGGTTGCTCACCGACTCTCTGAGCAGTGGTAGGGAGGCCACGAGAGGCCGGAGCATTACCAGTTGGAGCCAGGTGGCGAAGAGCTGGACGAGGCCCAGACTGGCGTATAGCACTTGGCATTCCTTGGAAGCCTGGTGAAAAGATAAAAATTGTACATCAGC